GTTAAAAATAAAATGGACTGCACGCAGAAATTGGTATATGGAACTAAATAATTATTTGTTCCAACTTTTCCTCCCGTCATATAGCCATTATGAAGGCATTTGACTACTCTGATATTCTTCGAAACTGACATAGATAGAGTGGGGGAACCTTAACAAACTTTTTTTGGGTAATATTTACCAGAACTAAACCTTCCCTTTAAGGATCCGGCCGGCGACTAGCCTCTGGGAGAGGCTCCTTAACCCCATCCACCACATGGGACCCTATCAAAATCATATCGAAAAGATGGACAAGGCGTTAGAAATGCTACTATGCAGAAACGCCATATACATGATAGTTTCTCTGGTATAGTAACAGTCCATTTATGTATGCATGAATTTTTTGCATCTTGTGTTTTGTTTTTTAAAGATAAAGCTGAGTACTGATCATGCCATTAGATTATGAAAGAAAAGGTTTGTTTGATTTGAAGTTAAATTTTTTGGAAAAGTTGATTATCAAGAACATAAACGTCTGTGTACATGTATATTATGGAGTTTTGGAATAGAATTGAGTTTTGCTAAAAACTAGATCCACGGCACACAGCCCATTGGCATACGGGAAGTCATACACAATCATGTGGAAGGAAAGTTTGATCCACTCTCCTCAGAAATGTTTGGGTTATATTTCGAGTACATTAATGGAATTCCTTTTCAGAGGGAGCCATTTCCACTGTGAAACTCTTCCAAATAACATGAAAAAGAATGATCAAACTTACAAATTGTAACCCATCGCTACCAGAACTCAACTTTCTCTTTAAGAATTCATCAGTCGCCTTTGGGAAGAGGCTTCTTAACCCCATCCACCCCATGGGACCCTATCAAAATCATATCGAACGATGAACTGTAGCGTGAGAAATGCTACTACGTATTAAAAGATAAGGTATATGTAGACACGCAATATATTATATTAAAGATTCACAGTATGTATGAAATGTTTTACAGCTCGGTAGAACCCGCAATAGGTTAATGTCCGGTCGGTATGTTGCTGAGAGCCAGAAGGGCGTTAACTTTTACGTTGAGTTAACGCCCTTCAGCAGAATATCATGTCGTATCTGTTTAACCAGGGAGATTTGACTTTAAAGTTACATCTCCCTGGTTTAACTATGATCATTCTAACAGACCACTATACTGTTGTGCCTTCTTGATCGGTCACATCTCCCTTGTGCAACAGTGTTTGTGCAATGAAGGAATCAATGTACACTGTACATGCGAAAGGTAAGATACCATAAGAGCATACAAACAAAGCTATTACACATCTTTTCAAAGGGAAACTCCAACCTGATTGCGTTGGTTTTAACAGAAGCAGAAAAATGAAAGAAACAGGTCGGTGAAAGTTTGAGCAAAAACCGATTAAAAATAAGAAAGTTATGATATTTTGAAGGTGCGATCAATCAAACACAACTGGCACCTTTGCGATGTATCTTGCGAGGTCCCCTCACATTTGCCATGTACTAACACACTTCAACCATTAAACTTTCCTCAATTTAATTTTCGATCACATATTCAACCAACAGGTAAATATAATTATTGCAAATATGTTTGTATATAACCCCTTTATGAAACCAATCTTATCCGTGATCAATAACTAAGGAAATTAAAGTTTATGATATTTGTTTTTGGCAGGGCAAATTGGAGAGGAGCTCGCAAGGTTCGTCACAGTGGTGCCAGCTTATGTTCCCATTGGTGACAACTTCAACAATTAGTAACTGTCTTATTTTTAATCGGATGTTGCTCAAGCTTTACATATTTTTTTTCTCTCATTTTTCTATTTTATTACAACCAACTTGATATCAAGGTGATCTTCTTCTACAAGGCATCTTGATTATGGTACACGACAAATGGAGATGTTAATGCTTTGAGAAATGTTTACATATTTTATATTGTAAAATAAAACGTAAAAGTATCTTAGTACTGGCATACGAAGTGCTTTTCATATCCTTGTTTCTTTCGAAGAGTTTGAACAAAACTTTAATTATCGGGTCCATAACTTATGTAGGTCGAAGTCGTGATACCACTTGATTTACCATAATTTATTTTATATCTTAATTATTTGTCTGGGTGGTCAATATTAGTATGATGTTTGATTTGACAACGATACCCTGAAATAATAAGAAGTGTTTCTCATGACCTTGTAATGCAAACCTTGTAATGCAAAAATTGTAAAAACAGAGAAGACCTTGAACAAAACTTTAATCACTTGATTTATAAGTAGGTCGCAGTGGTAATGATTTTCAATAACCTTTCTGGTTGGTCGATATCAATTTGAGGTTTCAATCTGACAGCGATAATCGAGCGGGACTGCATTAATTGGTTGTGCAACATGCTGTGTTAGAAGCGTTTGCCCGCCAAAACTGTCAATTAGTGGTCTACTGCATCCACGTTCTTCATTACCATTCCACAATTGTTTTGTCCACATCCAATTTTGGTCAAGAATCTCAGCTCTAGGCATTGTGATAGAGGTCTTTGTCTTTGTTTCAATGTCATTTATTTCAGATCGAAATATTAAAACAATTTTGCAATCATTACTCGAGATGCATTTTGAATGTGACTAAAGAGAAAGTCGCCCCTAAATTAATCGTGGCTACATTCCTCTTTATACGGCTTAATTCCATGTCTTTTTTAGGCATTCAAAATATATTCTAGTTAAAAATAGTTTACAAGATAAAATGCCCACGGGACCGACGTTTCTGTCTCGTTGACCTCATGACGATTTAGTTCAAGGGACCTAAGTGCCTCTCAACTGAAAATTCACTAGACCAATATTAGGGACTTTTAGATTTGCACGTCGACATAGTGGACTGCTACGTGTGACGTCCTTTTAAGGCACTGTGAAGTCCTTTAAATGCACTGCTAATTGATGTCTGAAAAGTTCGTCACACGTAGCAGTCCACTTTGTCGACGTGCAAATCTAAAAGTGCCTAGTTTCGGTCTGACGAACTTGACCATGTCTCATGGATAGGCATGGGTATAGCTTAATTTTGACAGGCAACATGTCCATCAGGGCTGATGCCATTATTCTAACTTCGACAAATTTGTTTCGCTACATAGACATCAAATGTAAAAACACGAATTGTTTTGTAGGAAGACGACATTTTATTAGAAATTTGAAATAACGTACCCTTTCCCACATTAAAAGAGTTGCAAAATGTATAAAGGCACTTCATATTTAAAGATGCAGTTGAGTTGTGGTCATGCGATTGCATTATGAAAGAAACGGTGTGGAACCGACCAGAAAAGGTTGATCATCTAGCATATAAGAATGTGTGTGTATTGCAAGGTTCTGGAATCATCAAAATGATAAGAAATTTGGCCAAGTCTTGGTAAAGTTACAAACACTTGCACAGAAAGATTAATATGGGATTATACGAACACGTGGCGTAAAAAGCCGGCCCCCCCGATTTTTACGATGTTACATGCATATTTAGAATATGAAGGCATTTGAAGAGCCATGCTTTTCAGGTAACATGTCTTAACTGATGTTCTTCCACACTTGCATAATAAGAATGAGTAATGCTCACAAATTATTTTTCACCTCTTCCCAGAACTCAACCTTCTCTTTAAACAAAATATCTATTTAAAATTGTCATATAGTAATAAATTTGTAGTGTTCATTAAGTGAATTTCGAAAGATATGTAAGAAAATCGAAACAACAATATTTATAAACATAATTAAATATAATCATAACATTGATCAACGTATTAACCTTCATTTTATTGTATGACGTATACACTTTTACGTTCAGGTATTCATTTGGTAGTTTAACTAACAGTTTAAAAGATGGACAAAAAAAATCAAATACGTTTGCCGATCTAGAATAGCAAGCTATAAATCGAACTTATAACTATACAATTAAATATTCGCGGTTTTTCGAGGTTCCTCAAAAAAGCATATTTCTCATTAAGATGAAAATGATGTGACAATAAATCGATAAAATAACCTGAATTATTATGATTTATAACACAATAATCGTGTAATGATATTTTTCTAAACCTTGGAGACTAAATTAACTGAGTGCCAAAGCTCCAGAAGAAAGACGCATTAAATAAAATGTATGAGGGCATATTTGCCGAGGGAGGGGTGGGGAATAAAGGACAGGAAACTTGAATGTAACCTAAATCCGAAAAAAATGTTCAACAATAATTATTCGGGGCATATTTGCGTTTAAAAGTAATAAAATGACGTATATATTAATTACTGAAACAAGCAGCAGAGAAAATTAATTTTGTCTCCCTGGATTACTGTAACTTTTGTAGTTCCATATACTTCCTGAGCTTTATGCTTTTTTTAAAATCAGACACACACAAAACGGCACTCAAATGGGATCAAGTATTGATGGAAAACACACCTGAAAACACACTCATGCATCTAAGTTCTTTTTACGTTACATGTACTTTGTAACAATTTTATCGTATAACAGATTAAGCCCACTATACACTATACGATCCGATTTCGGGAGAATTTGCCAAAACATTTGATACGAACATTCAAACATGTAAAATCTCAATGACCGAGGATCTGAATAGTCAGATGATTAAGAAAATCTAAATGTCATAGATTTCATGATTCTTTGGAAGAAATCTAAATTGGTTAAGAATCATAGTGATATCAGAGCAATAGTGACATATTGTTTAAGATTTGAACCGATTCGGCTATTATTCTGAACAGAAGAGTTCAAGGCACTAAAATTTCGGTTGTTAGTAGGCTACTCTTATCATTATTAAGAAGCAAATTCAAGAAAATAGTGTATGTTTAGATTTCCTAACGAATACAAATGCCATTTGGTCGAAAATGGATCGCAGGACGATTGAGTAGTGTGCGTTAAGTCTAAGTTATGAACAAATTTCACAGAAATCGAAACAACGGTATTCTAACGTAGGTAAAAGAAAATTCGAACAAATATGAAATTAGCTAATATTTACATACATGTCATCTCAATGCTATCAAAAGAGTACTATTTTTTTTAATCATTCATCCATTACATTCGTTGTAGTCTCCTGTTAACCAGTAACATATTTGTGCAAATTTTAGAGGCGTTATACGTATCGCGACATTATTGACAACATTTTCTCCGTCAAGATCGTATGTCTGTTCACCAGTGTAGACTCCAACGACTTTCCGTGTCCATTGCCTTAGCAAGCCGTCCCAACGACGCACGTAGATACCGTCCAACCGCGTCACTGTCGCCGTCGCACTGTTGATAGAAAAGCTCGGACGTCTCGCCCTGTAGATGACAGAAGCGGTAATACAACACAGCTTCGTTGGGTGTGTCGAGCGCGTTCATGTGCAGCTGCGCGTTCTCTTGGACGTTCACCGAGCTTCCGACGCTGACGTTGAGGTAGGGCCGGTCTGGACTTCTTTTGAGGGACAAGACCGCGTAATCTTTATCCAAAGGTAGGTTCCGTGTGCGCTTCAGTCTGGTCCAATCGTAAGGCAGGTAAGCCTTGGCGACGCGGATCCAAATCAGAGCCTTCTCCCACTCGTCTGTAGAGATTTCCTCGGGTTTCAGGCTTCGCTGACGGCGAAATCCTACGTTGAGCTCTCTGATTGGCACAATGTAATTTTTACCGTCATGGATGCATCGCGCTGCGGTCAGGACGTACTGTTCTCCGATAAGCACACCTGAGCAACCGGTGGAGAGTTTAACCGCGGCTGAAAACGGTTCCTTCGAGATAAACTTCCTGTCGTCGATTGGGAACCGCGTGTTTGCACCGACAACTGCGCGTCGTCTCCTGCTGTGTGAATTCTCTTTTTCCTCGGACAAGTTGGCTGAGATCATACTCTCCTCTGCCATCCACCCGTTAAGATAGCTCACAAAATTCTCGTTAGGTGTCAATTCCGTCTTTTGTATAATTCCATCATCCGTGACAGTCTCGAAAGCCAACAATTCCCTTATCTCGGTCATCGTATAATTCCAATCCCGAATTGGAGAAGCGCATAGTCCCTCACATTTAAGCTCAGGGTTACCGGTTCCTTTATTTTCCACGGTATCATCCGCTTCATTTCGTATATCCGAAACGGCGAGCTTGCTTTGTCCTTGAGGGAAATGGATTGGGTGCCATACTTCATGGTAATATGATATATTCTTTCCAGTTCCTTTCCACTTAAAATGAGTACCATTATTATCCTTCCCCTTCTCCACTCCCAGAACGCCGAGTGGCAGCAAGATTAATAACAGCGATGTCGGAATCATGGTAACGAATATTTATTGTCCAAATATTTTACAATAACGACCAGTGTTTTCGCCGATTCGTTGATAGGAGCAGGTCGTAAAACTCAAACTTGGCACGATAACTGTAATCATCCATGTTGGGTATGTCGATGAATGTGACCTCCTCTCTGAATAAATGAAACTCCTTCTGATGAGGGTTGTACCAAGCAGGTTAGACGGCTTGAATCCTAAATAACGTCCAATCAACTTGAATTCAAAAGTACGTCTGGTTGTCTTGGAAAGGACCTCGAGCCACTCATTAGTGCGTGAATGTGATCCAAGTTACCACAATGGAAGACAATGTCGGCAACCCTGGGAAGGCAACACACTCAAGTTCACCAAGCGCCAGCAGCATACATTGGAAATATTAATTATGCCGTGTCCGTTGCAAGGCAATGACTATACTTCAATGGGGGAAGTCTGTGTACGAAAATAAAGAATGAAACTTAGCCACGCCTCTTCCAGGCTCGAAAGCCCGAAGCGTCATCTGATTGGTTGGAAACTTCGAGTATTTAATGACGTATGGTGGTAATGATGAGTTAGATGGGATGAAGTCACAAAGCGCTGCGGGTTACCGTGGGGTTTGAGTTTCACGCTGATCCCGATCCCACTTGTGACAAAACATGATATACGCACAATCTCCCTCATGAGCATTGGAATGTTGAATGATATTAAAGGACCAGCGAATTCTTTTGAGAGAAACCGGTTCAAAGATATATTCATATGAAAATAGCGACCAATACATGACTATCAGCCTATTAAAAAGAAAGTCAAAATATGACACAGGATAAATGTCATCCTAATTATACCGATTGGTGGTACAAATAGTTAATATTTCTCATATCGATATGCAACAACACTTCCTTTGATTAGATAATGATCCGCACGATTAGAGGTGAAATGTATAGTTGCGAGGCGTATTATAGAATTGATTCAAAGTTTGGAGACTTGACTGAGGATTAGCCATTTACAACATCTTGTACTAGGGTAAATATTGTCTATATCGAACCAGGTTTACTTAAAGGGAAGCTAAGTAATAGGACAGTGTGCGCTATTAGTTATGTCATCAACATAAAGCATCCATGTTTTTTATCCTATTTCTGTTCACTGTGGCCCGAATTCACAAAGCAAGGTTTGAGCTCAGACCAAGATTTGAGCTCAAACCTCCTTTTGTTTCGCCAAACCTCCTTTTGTTCTTTACAAACCAGGTTTGTGAAAAACGCGTAAAACGCGTCATATGACGTACGAAAACCAAGGTTTGTCGACAAACCTCCTTTGTGAATTCGGGCCACATGTCTGAGCCGTCATGTGAGCGAAACAAATATCCATGTAAAATGTACGTTGGAAAAATATACATGAAAAGAACTGAAACGAAATGTACAAGGGAAAAAGTTTGTAGGGCTGATAATACTGTCCACTATTGGATTATCAATTTACTCTCGTTTAATCATTTAAAAAAGAAAGGACAATAATTTTGAGACAATAATGGACTATGATTGGAGAGGGAGATTGGCCGCGCTGGCAGCGTTTTGGTATAAAACAAGTCCTTTAGATGGTCTCCCTACCCGCAAACATGTGCTGGTGTTTTTTACAGCTATGTAATGCATTCTTTTCCAGAACGGATTATTAATTGTAGGCCTATTAATTATTCGAAATTAATATTTAAAATAAAAAACAAAGTATAATTTTCGTTGATATATTAAAGGGCTCTTGACTGGTAGGAAGCAGGGAGTTGAGGCGACCCCGGTTAAATTTTCGGAATGTTCATTCGGAAAGTTCACAAACTTGATACAAGCTCATCTCTCTAAAGCCGAGGAAATAATATGAAGGCTACCGGCAGTTATTCTAGGACAAATTTCTATTCCCAAAAGGATAATTGAGGTAGCGATGCCATCTTTTTCGAGACATTCCATTCAAAAATCTGATAGTCAGTGGCTCACGTCCAGGCATCTGCTGATTATCATGTGCTATTTCATGACGAACCCCATTAAACTTGGCAAACTTGACGTTTGCCGGTAGGTGGTCCGTTTAAGTGAGCGAGAGTGGGTGAGATCGTGGTAGACTGAAGGAGATGGGAAACTTGGCATAAAGATGAGGAAGATGGGATGTAGAATGAAACTATGAAAATGTGTGGGAAGAGAGACAGACTCCAAGAGAGAAATAGAGAGAGAGAGAGAGAGAGAGAGAGAATGTTGGTGATATTGTTATGATGAATATTCTATTTTTTGTCACTGATATTTTTGTTGTGTTTTATTATTATTTAAGTGTCCTTCATAAGCTACTTTATGGAGTTAATTGTGCTTTGTAACTGAAAAGAAAATTAGAGGCACTATCAGGCGCGTACACAGGGGGGGGGGGGTTAAACCCCCCTTTTGGTAATTATTTGTGTGTAAACCCCCCCCCCCCCCCTTTTGGATTTTTTTTTTTTTTATTAAAAAAAAAAAAAAAAAAAAAAAAAAAATTCCCATGGTTGACCTAAAAAAGCTGACCTTACCCCCCCCCCCCCACGGAGCAAAATGTCAAATTTTCAAATTTCGAGACCAAAAAAAAAAAAAAAAAGTCCTCTTACACCCCCCCCCCCCCCCCCCCCCCCCCCCCCCCCCCCCCCCCCCCATCGAGAGTCATGTGTCGATCTAATGGTGAATTATTTGCCTATAAACCCGCATCCAAGACGGGCACTGGTTTGAAACTGCATTTTTTCTTCTCTAGACAGTTAGGATGGAGACGTGAAGATTGGTCCCAAGACGTCACACGTATCAGTCCACGCAAATCTAAAAGTCCCTTATGCTCTTTGATTGAAACACGTAAACCCAATTACACCCAATAGGCTGAAACACAGACGCGATTCATGCCAGGATGCATAACGCCCAAAAGTGAGGTAGTCACATAATCCCCCCAAAATCCAACAAAATATTTTGTTTAATGAAAGAAAGAAAACAAAAGATAGAGAGAGTGAGAGAGGGGAGGGGGGGGGGGGTGAGAGGTTACTTCACCCATAATAATAATAATACATTTATAATAATAATAAGATTTATAAGGCACCAAATCCACTTGACAGTCAAATGCTCAAGGAGCAGCTTGTGCAAAAGATGAAAAATACATACATGATACATTTATACAAAGTGCGATAGGAAAGGTACAGACATGAAAGGTTATGGTAATCAATTATAAGCTAAATTAAACAGATATTTCTTAAGATTGTTTTTTAACACTTCAGCAAAACTGCTATTCTTAATCCATTAAGGGAGAGTATTCCACAATGAAGGTCCAGCATGAGCGAAGGTTCGCTCCCCCCATTTCGTATCATGCTCCTAATTTCTCTGTTGATTTAGGAATTGTTTCCAAATTTGAGTGAACCCAACGTAGATTTGTTTCTTCTCTTAATGTCCCAATCGTCTACTGAAGACGCATCATTTCCAAGGTACTTTCTTGTATTTTGAAAAGGCACAGTCCAGATAATTCAATTTGTTGAAACAAACGATATAGAAAAGTAAGTTGGGAGAAATATTTATTTTGGATATTACTTTAGGTGGAAGTCCATATTACACAATTAAAGTGAATTTATTAATCGATTTTCTTAACGTCCGACGTAGACTGTGATGCCGTTGCACATGGGGTGTAATCTCGATTATATCTTACCTTCGCGTTTTAATTCTGTCTGTGAATGAAATCAACCTATAAGACAGGGATTTAAAGCCTGTATGACTTTTTGTTTTGCCTTCACTTTGTGTGCTCCACCACGCTCACATCAGGTTGCGCCGCTCTCTGACGCACAACTACGTCAGCCACTTGACGCCCCATGTGCAACGTCAATAGACCGGTTCACTAACATATTATTCAAATTTCAAGCATCCTTTTTTAACAAAAGTTGTTCTTGACAACCAGGAAGCTTGTCCGAGGCTTGCCCGACGTAGCAACAAATAATATATGTATAGTGGATTCAAAGTATTGTAGTGTATTCATTATAAACAGGCTTAAGGCATATCTCGTCACCATGTCCCCAGGAAAGAAACATCCATGAATTTGAATAAGTTAGTAAACCGGTAGATAAATATACGTCATCAAGAAACTGTTCTGAAGGACGACCTTGTTGTTAAAGAAATCTTCCAGGGTGGACCAGGCGTAGCTTCCCGGAAAGATGGTTCCGCTGCGGATGTACAATTCGCTTGGTTTCACACAATGATATAAAAAGGGAGCTAAATTTATCTGTGAATGGAATTCGAAAGATAATTTCATTTATCATCATGGATTTCGCTCCGGGTCCAGGGTATGCCACCTCCATGACCCGAACGTAAGCCATGTTTAGGGTAGCCTTTTGACAAGGCCTCGTTGACTCTGGCTAAGCGGCTGAGATGAGTCTAGATACCCGGAGTGAACGCGCGACCGAGTGACGGATGTCACAGGTCTGGGCAATTCGCACTGGCGTTCATTCAGGTTTTCGCGATTAGTCTCTTTTTAGTCGCTCGGCGTCTATCAGGCATGCCTTGTTTAAAGGCTATGTTTAGGGAGGAAACAGAGAATGTTCCCTCATAAAAGAGCCAGACTTGTCAGTGGGAGTCTTTGTATCTATCATTGCCGTAGCAGCAGGGGCACAGGGATTATGTGTCCCCTAACCCCGTCCATTAGAAAAATTAGAAAAATATGAAGTAAAAGAAAAGAGAGAGAGAGAGAGAGAGAGAGAGAGAGAGAGAGGAAGACAGAGGGAGAGAGAGAGAGAGAGAGAGAGGAAGACAGAGGGAGAGAGAGAGAGAGAGAGAGAAAGAAAAAGTGATAGGGGAAAGGGATGACGACAAAAGATATTTCGACTACGTTTCGCGACCTCCTAATCAGTAGCCTAATCTGTAAATTCGCATTTTAATTTCCAAGGAAGATCAGTGCTCCCCCAATCGTTGCCACTGCCCCCTCAAATAGATCGGCTCACTTTACGCCACTGTTTGTGCGTGTATATCTCCTGGCATATGTTTTGACAGGTCGTGCTGCCATGAAATGTAGCAGCGAAGGCAGAAGAAGAATGGGAAAAAAGAAACCAAAATATCATCTTCAGCAGATAATTATGGGGACAGTAAGCTTTTCTTTGAATAATGATAAAACCACCAACAAGTTTATTGGAGTAATGGATCTTGTAACAAGTCATCCCGTATAACATGACATTGCAAAAGAACTGAAAATCACTGAATAGGTTATCCACAGTGTCAATGAAATCCCACTGGGCTTTGGGTTTCGCGCTTTATATCATGATACTCGTGATAAGAGAAATGATGTTCAAAAGAGCAAAGTAGAACCGAGAATTGAGAAGTCTTTCGCAAATCTTTACAGAAATTTCGTGTATTTATTTTCAATCATATATCAACTATCCAGGAGTACTTAAAGCAAGTAGTACCATAAAGTATCATG